CTGCAGGGTGAGCATGCATGGGAAGGCTGTGATGGGAACTGCAGGGTGAGCATGCATGGGAAGGCTGTGATGGGAACTGCAGGGTGAGCATGCATAGGAAGGCTGTGATGGGAACTGCAGACTAGATTTCCCTGTTGAAGAGAAGCCCAGGCTACAAGCACAGAGCAGGCTGCCCCACACCCATAAGGAAGCCCCAGGGGATCCATGGGAGCTTACACCCTAAGCAGCCATCCCTCCTCCTAGAAGGCTGGGCTCAGGGCAGAGGGCTTTTCTGAAGCCCCTCTCCAGCGTGCTGCTCCTTCTTTTCCCTGCGAGGGTCACCTGAGTGGAGCACTTCTCGCTGCTCACTTTCCTTTTCCCTGCAAACTTCTGGGCCTCGATGCACTGTCTTCCACAGGCCTCCACTGGGCACCAGGGTCCCTACTAACCTAAGCCACTAGAGGTAACTCTGCATGTGTGTCCCCTGGGCCAGAGGCAACTCTGCATGTGTGTCCCCTGGGCCTTCTGAACCACTCTGACGGGGTGACTCTGTCTGGCCATCAACACCAGGGATAGGCACAACCATTTTTCTTCATGTAGTCCTCTTCTATAGACTGTCAGAACCCAAGGGCTGTGCTTCCGTTCCTTTGCCCGTCCTGCAGCCTCCACATAGGGCTGTGTTGCCGCGGGGCACAGAACCAACTGGAATAGAACTGAGCCGCAAACCTCAGCTCAATGGAAAATTCTCAGGCAACTCGGAATTACCTCTAGAGTGAATTTTTAAAATGACTTTTTCTATTTTATAAAAGTTGAATAACACAGAATTTGTAAAACACTAGAAGGCAAAGGAAGAAAAAAATTTAAATCACCCACAATCCTTCACTCAATAACATTTGCTACTTTGGGGAACACATCCCTCTGCCTTTTCATAAATGTGTATGTGTATTCTGTATGATAGCTCCCCGTCCCACACATGCACTGCATATATGTACACAAGGTACTCAATGCTATACAAGTGCACACATACACATACAGGCATCACACTGACCATTCATGCAGACCCTGTACACATGCGTGTGCACACACTGTACTTACAGCACACGCACAGGCACAGGCATACACAGGTACCACGAACACCCACTGTATACACACATGCATTTGCTAAACACATGCACTACACACATTGCACACATATGGGTGCACACTAATGTGGTACACACAGTGCACATAAACGTGTACACTGAACACACACTACTCATACTATACACATCATTACACACACAGCGCATACATGTGACACACTAATGTACACACAATGCCTGCACACAGGGTCCTCACACACACACACACACAACCTTGCACTTGGAGAGTTTCCTATCCCTGCTTAGTTGCTTTTGTGCCCTTGACTCCAGCTCCTCCTTCTCCCTTTTGGTCCCCCTGGTGGCCAGGGTCCCTGGGAAAGCCAAGCAAACCCAGCTCAGATGCTGGAGCTGCAAGGACAGCTGAGTGCCCTCACTGCTTCTAGGGGGACCCGGGCCACAGTGTGGTCCCAGCAGCTGGCACAGCATCGGGAGAGTGTGCACCTTGCACCCTTCTTGCCCAGGCCGCTGGGCCTCACCTGGAGACGGGTGTCACGTAGTTCCCAGGAAACACCCCGGAGACGCCGGTCCTCAGGGACGCGCCCTTGAACCAGCCGTCCTGGCACTTCTCCAGCACGCGGTACATCTCCCCCTTGCGCAGCTCCAGCTCGTCGTTCTTCTGGGGCTTGTAGGCGTAGAGTGCCAGATACCTGGGCAGAAGACAAGGACAAGGGTCAGTGGATGCCCTTCCAGGGTGTGGTGGGGGCAGCTGGTCACAGGCACAGGAAGCTCATCTTCCGGTGGACCCAACCCGAGGGGAGCTGAGGTCTGTGGGACTCACCGAGTCGCTCCTCCCCACGCACCCGAGAGGCAGGCGGGAGGAGGCCAGGTGTGCTCCTGTGCGTCCCAGAGAGCCACAGCGCTGCCCTGGCGGCTGGACAAGTAGCCCAGGAGCTGTGAGTGCCCACTGAGGCAAAGTGACGCCAAGGCGATGAAGGACCCCCAGAACGGGGTTCTGAGGCCCTCTCTCTGGACGCCACAATCTTCTCCTGCTCTTTGTGTTTACCTAGAGTCTGGTGCTCCAGCAAGAAGACCTCAGGGAAGCCAAGCAGGAGCCAAGTTGGCCTCAGGCCTGGCGTACCTGCCTGGCTCCTCCCACCAACCTGCCTGGAAGACAGCTCGGTCCCTTTTAAAACCAAGTGGGGGGCTCTAGGGAGGGAGCTCTTGGCCACACATTTCCTTGCAGCATTTGTACCGTGACTGATTGTTTTTTGGCTTACGCTTTTCTTTTAAATCTTATTTGCAGATGAGGCTGAACAGACTTAGTGGTTAAAATTTTGACCTGAGGTTTGGATGCTGTGCCTACAAGTTAGCCGTGGCCTTGGGGAAAACCGGTTTTGTGACGTCCTGAAGATAATCTGATACAACCTCACAGGTGCTTGGAAGGAATACATGAACTTGCAAAAGTACCCCGCTTCTTCAGGTTCGGGGGAATAGCTGGTTTGGGACTGAGGGAGCAAACTGTATCACATAATTCTTTGCCCTATAATTGTCTTATAAGGTTCACCTAGGAAAGTGGGAGGGGGCCGCAGTTCAATAGAAGATGAAAAATAAATTTCAGGGCTGGGGATAGAGCTCAGTGGGTAGAGTGCTTGCCTGCATACGCAAGGCCCTGGGTTCAATCCCCGGCACCATCAAAAAAACATCTATATTTTAAAATAAGGGTCCTTTTCTGGCTCTTGCTCCAAGACGGTCTGCTTGGTGGGCACGCCAATCCCGTCCAGTGACTGTGGGCTCCTAGTGGCTTGTGCAGGAGAAGGGCTCTGAAGCTGAGGGGCTCACTGACACCCTACCGCATTCTCCTGGCTCTGGGCGGTGCAGTCGTAGGAGGTGAAAACAGAAACGGGGCACAGCTTACTAGGGTTCAAGAGGAACAGGAGAGTTCCGTCAAGACTAAAGACTTCTTTGTCTTAAAAAAAATCTGCCACCCCTTTCCAGCATCTGAATCCTCCACACACAGACCTCTGCTTCCACTCAGGGAGGGCGCTCACTTCCTTTATTTATAGTCCCTTCCCTTAGGGACACTCCTTGGGATGAAACACGGTTTGCATGTTGTTCTTTCCTGGTTCAAAAAGATGAGCACTGACCATGAGGAACGCTCCGGGCTCCTGAGGATAAGCAGAGCCATCGGGAGAGGACCCCTCCCTCCTGCTGGTGGCTCTATAGATTCCCATTGTCAGCGCTATGCCCAGGTGACAGATAGAGGATCTGGGCCGTCATCATTCTCTCTCGTGGCCACGGAGGAAATACTACAAACAGAAAGCCACGTGAGGTCTGAATGGACACAGCCAAACCCGGGAGCACCATCCGGGGAGCCTCGGATGGGGGCCAGGGAGTGGGTGAGTGCACGGAGCTGCAGCTGAGGGAGAGGGAGGAGGACGGGAGCCGAGGTGGCCGGGATCCCGGGAACCGATGAAGACGATGCGTGATGCTGTGTGCCTGTTCTCAAGGACAGAATTGAAGCATAAATCCTGCTGAGGTTTGTCTCCTTCGTCCTGTGTGATGTCAGAACCATCTGACTGTGACTAGGAGCAGGCCGCCAGGCCAGGTGATGGCTTCTGAGGCATGTATGGGTCAACGTGTGACTCAGACCTCACCAAGTAGCCCTGTCTCTGTCTGTGGTCATGGGGGAGGGACCCCAAGCTGACTTTGTTCAGAAAGTGGCCTGGGGGTTCCATCGGCTGCCTGCGGGGATCAGGACCCACAACACCCTCCACAACCTTGACCCAGGGCCTGGGACCCACTTCTGTTCTCCCCCTCCTGGTGCTGTGCAGGACCCAGGGGACTCAGAGCTGAGCGGGGGCCTGGGGCCCGTCACCTGCCAGAGACGAGGATCCGTGAGCTCCAGGCTGCAGCCAAGTCCCTCTCCCTGAGCTGCCTCTGGCTGTTGGACACACCTACGGGAAACAGGGGCCACCAGGGCCACACTCCCTGGCCTGGAGCAGTCCTCTGCAGGTGTCCCATCTGGCTAGGTACCCATGTCACTGTGCAGCATCCTGCACGTGTGGCCTGGGATCACCGAACATGTCAGGGAACAAGAGTCTCAGGGAGCATCCAGCTCACAGAGTCCACCCACAGGCCAGCAGCTCCCGACCGGACCTTCAGCTTGCTTCACCGGACTCTGCTTTACGAAGAACGCGCTTCCAATGGCCCTTTCCGCAGGCAGAGGCTCCAAGGCAGGGCTACCTCTTGAGCCAGAGTGAGGGGCTTCTCCCTTCCTCACAGCCAGCACAGCGGCGTGTTCCTGCAGTCCCAGCCACTCAGGAGGCTGAGGTAGGAGGAATGCAAGTTCACAGCCAGGCTCAACGACTTAGCGAGACCCTGTCTGTCTCAAAATAAAAAGGGCTGGCTGGGGATGTGACTCAGTGGGTTCAGTCCCTGGCACCAAAAATAAATAAGTAAAATAAATCATTTCTTCCTCTCTCATCTTCCAACCCAGCACACCTGTAGGGGTCTGAGGGATTCTGAGCAACTGTGTTCTCTTGGGACAGAGACGTCTTCCTAGCAGGATCCCCGCATGGGGGCAGCCACCTGGTGACCTTGGTCCTATCTCCAAAGGTCCCAGCTCAAAAGGGCCTAGAGGAAGAGAACCAGCAAATCCTGCTTGGGCAAGCATTACTCCAAAGTGTTCCCTGAAAACATGGAACATGCCTCAGGACCTTTGCACTTACTTTCTATCTGCAGGTCTCCTCTCTTGGCCCCTTAGTGTATGCTCTATGAGAGTGGGATTTCTATCTGATGGTTCCATGCTCTCTCTTCACTATCAGGCACAAGGTAGATTCTCAATAAATGTTGAGAGAAAAATAAATCAGGGGCCTAGGCTTTGCAACTAAGTGCAAGAGTGCTGTGTGTGCGTGTGTGTGCGTGTGTGTGTGCTGTGTGTGCGCGTGTGCGCGCGTGTGCGCGTGTGTGGGGGGGGTGTTGGTGATGGATATGTGCATATATGTGTGAGTGCAGAGCTACAAACAAGGAGACTTGCTCTGCATCTCTTTGTTGTTTCCTAGAGCAGCAGGGAACCCCCTCCCGTCATCTGCCAAGTACGGAACTGCCCAGAAAGAGGGCAGGGCCTAGCAGCCTGGAGGCTGGGAAGGCACCTGCCCACACCTGGGCTCACTGAGCACCAACTTCCAGGATTCAAACAGCAAGTGTTGGCAGCTGTGATAGACACTCCACCAACGATCTGAACTGTTGGACAGTCACGATTGCGGTCCCGGAGGAACGGCCACGAAATCACTGAAGGTTGATTCCCACTTGGGAACAAAATGGTGATCTTTTCCTCCGTGTTCTAGGATCCCTATGTCATTAATGGGACAAGGACTTTGTGATTACATTTCAGCCTAGAAGAGGACTTTCCACTCTTCCCCATCAAAATAAAAATGAGAATTCTTTATGTCGGAAGCTACAAGTCACCTTCATACCTTTAAACTGGAGAAGGTTTCCAGCATGGGGGCAGCCACCTGCTGACCTTGGTCCTGTCTACAAAGGTTTCAGCTCACAAGGGAACCTTCTTCAAAATTCCATTTTTATTTTAAACGAACACCAGACGTGGCTCTTAATGAAACAGTAAAGGAAGGGAAATGGAAACTAAAGATGAATTCTAGGCATCCACCCACCACCAGATCTGTCCACCATGTACCAAATACGTTGGGCACACCTCCGCGGAGCGGGGACACCAGCTGTATGCACACTTCCCTTACTTCCAAATCTGCTGAGAGATGCATCCTTGGCGTTTGCATAAAGATAGGCTGGGATGCTGTGCTAAATTCAGCCTCTTTGCACAGGACCACCAGCTTCTCAGCAGTAGGAAGTTGGGCTGTTTATGAGATGCTCAGTGATACAGGCAGCCCTGGGGTGCTAATGCCCACAGGGAGCCACGTCCTTTCCAGGTGCCATCGCCCTGAGGGCTGATATGCCCCTTTCTTCTCAAAGCACTGTCACCAGATAACTTGCCCCGAGGCCTTATTTAGAAGGTGTCAGCCACCCAGAGCTGCGTGCCCACCACAGGGCCACCAAGTGAGGCAGGGCAAGAGGAGAAGGACAGGCCCCGACGTCTGCCATGTGCTAGACACAGGGTCTCATCTACGCTCCACATGAACCCTGAGGTTTCACAGTTGAGGAAACTGAGGCTTGGAAAGACGGAGAATCCATCCATGTTCCCACAGGTTCCGAGGCAGGGCCCGGGCTGCAGCTCAGATGCTGTCGGCCTGGCCCAGAGACATGGCTGGCTGTGCCCTCCCTCTCAGAACAGGCTGCCACATAGAGAGGGCTACACCAGTTTGCACCAGGGCACTAACGGCCTGGGTCTTTTTGTCTTTGTGTTAAATCATTTCTGTCCGATGAGTAATCCTTTTGGCCTCCCAATTTCAATTCAGCCTCTAGGTGTACGTTGCTGGGGAAACCAGAATGTAAATAAGCCTGACTTCACCTTAAAAACTCTCTCCTCCTCCTCCAGCTTTCCCCTTTGGGTGCCTCAGTGGTGGAACCAAAAGCAGATGGATCTGCCGGGGGTTTTCCTGTGCGTGGCATCTGTGTATCTGGCAGGCGGCCCCTCCTGGGTGGGGCATTGGCCCGAGTGGGGAATGTGTCACGCTGCATCTGCTCTCCCTTCTGAGTGACTCGAGAGAATGCATCCGGTGGGCCGTGCTGGAAG